CGCCAGCTCCTCCGCGGGCGGCGAGGGCAGGCGCTCCTCCGCCAGCTTCCGCTTAGCCTTGCCCGGGGCCGCCGCGCCGCCGCCCGGGGAGTTCTCCAGGTCCCGCGCCAGGTTGTGGAAGTCCGTGGAGGGCTTCCCGCCGCCGCCGTCCTGCGGGCCCGAGTAGTGCGCGCCCAGCGGCTTGCCGTACTTAGGCGCCTCCACCTCCTTGTTCTTGCGGCCAGCGTCTGGGCCGCCGTCGAGGCCGGCCGGGCGCTTGGCGCAGCGGAACCGCACGTGCGCCGCGAACGGGAACTCGAACTGGAAGCGCTGGCCGCACTCCGCGCAGCTGTACGGCGTCGAGCCTGCAGCACGGGCACACGGCGCGGCCGCCGCGTTAGTACCGCCAGCGCCCGCCCCGCCCCGCCCGGCCCGGCCCTCAAGGACCCCCCTCCCAGACCTTCCCAGGACTTTTGAAAGTAATAAACACGCTTTCCTTCCCTCCCTGTTCTTCTTTTTTCTTTCTTGCTTCCTTCATTCTTTCCATCTTTGCTCCCTCTCTTTCTCCTCCTTCCCTCCCTTACTTGCTTCATTCCTTCCTTCCTGCTTTGTTTCCTCTCTTTCTCCCTTCCTTATCTATCTATCTATCTATCTATCTATCTATCTATCTATCTATCTATCTATCTATCTATCTATCTATCTATCTATCTATCCCCCTTGCCCCGGCCCTGCAGTTTGCGGCTCCGACCCCCCTGTTTGGGCTGCTTTGTGCCTTTTCTTGTTTAGGAACCCCTGGAGTGGAAACTTAACAGATTGTAGCCCCTAATCTAATCGTGTTCGTCCAATATGTTCCAGAATAGGGAAGGCTGTGGGCTGCGTAATGAATATTTAGTCAAGCTAATTTGCCCACTCGAGCCCTCGCCTCGCCTCTCCGGCTGTGTTAACTCTTCCCCGAGTGAATCACAAACGCACATAACTTCAGAGACCCCCCCCTCCCCCGCCCAGAGAGAAGAACCCCGGCGTCCGAGGCGACGCGGCCGGCGCCTACCGTTCATCTTGCTGTGCCTGGCGGTGCTGAGCAGCAGCAGCTCCGTCAGCTCCTTCCCGTACCACACTAGTAACTCCTCGTCTTTGGCAATCCTCCGCAGGGAGCGGTAAAACAACTGTCCATTTTTGATGTAGGCTTCCAGGTTCTGCTCCTCCTTGTCGCGGGCCGACTGCACCAGCCGGAGCCACATGAGCCCTTCCGAGGAGCCGTTCGCCGCCGAAGTGTCCACCTGCGGCAGAGCCAGGCGGCCGTGAGCGCGGAGCCGGGGCCCTGGGCCCACAGCCCGGCCTAGGGGCGCTGGGCCCGGCTACGTCACTGCCTACCTCCCTCCTAGCGGGGAAACACTGCCTGTGCTTGGTGTGACACACACACACGTATTTCTACACTCCTTGGTGCCTACACGCACACACATGCCCCCGCGCGCACACACACACGTGTTTCTACACTCCTTGGTGCCTACACACACACACACACGCACACGTGTTTCTAAGTTCTCCGGTGCCTACACACATAGACACATGCACACACACGTTTCTAAGCTCCACGGTGCCAACACATACACACACCCCTCTCCAGTGCCTTTGGATGAACAGGCACAATAACCAGGTCAGCTCCAGACTCTGGAAAGAAGAAAAAGCCATCCAGGATGCCCAGGGAACTTTTCCTCCTGCCTGGAACCCCAATGTAGGAAGTTTTGCCCAAAGACCAAGGTCTGGGTAAATCCGTTCACGTATTTAAAACAAAACACAGCCATTTGCTCATCTCTCTATACTGCTCCTAGTCTAGAAATGTAGGCTGATCTGATGCATCACGTCTGTATAGCACAGGATGTAGAAACCAGACCTAGCAGCAGCGCTGCCTGGGTGCTGGCAGTAGCACCTGCAAACATGGCAACAACTGTGATGTGGATTGGGGGGGGGGGGGGGGGAT